AGCGTAAACCTGTCACAGCTCCCATCCTGTGACAGCAGCCACAGCCCGGCTCTGCCGCCCAGAGTCAAGCCTGTGTCCGTGCTGCTCTGTTATTTCCTGTCCTCCATCAACACTGAGATCCTTTACCCACCCACCTGGCAGCCAGGTCATGGAGGCTGAAGGTTTCAGGGTCCCCCCTCACCATACCTTGCTGGCCAGAATGCGGGAGACCTCATCATCCACAGAGCCAAGGGCCACGGCCAAGTCAGGGTTGCTGCTGCTAATGCTCTTAGAGCGAGCCAGGTAGAGGCTTGCAGGGCGGCCAGGGCCACGGGCCAGTGTGGCAGGCTGCACTGTCACTGGAAGGGCCCCTGAGCATGAAGGGAATATGGTCAGCCACCAGCCTACCTGCCCCAATGACTTGCCCCTTCCCAGTGGACTGCCCCTGGCAAAGTCACTTTCTTTTTCTGAGCTTCCAGGTTCCTCACCTATAAAATGGGTATGATAATGGCTGCTACCTCAGAGTAATTTTGGGGAGACTGAAAAACACTGAGAATATCGTAAGTGCCTGGTACATAGTAAATGCCCAAAGGAATTAGTGGTTATTATTAATTATCAAATGAGAAAAAAAGAAAATCAAGCTTTATTGAGTACTCATTGTGCCAAGCATTTTGCATGGATTCCTACGTCATTTACCGTTACCAGCAACCCTAGTAGGGGACGCTATTATTATCATCATTTTACAAATGGGAAAATAGGCCCCGAGAGGTGAAGTCAGTTGCTCAGGATCACGGAGCTTGTAGAAGGCAGAGCTGGGATTCAAACCCAGGCAACCCTGCTTGAGTCCCTACTTGCTGACTGGCTGAATCACCTGCCAGTCAAGTGTACAGAGACCACACCCCTGAGAGTAAGGCAAAAAGTTAATCCTCTTACAATTTGCTCAAACCAACCAAGGCCCTGTGAGGCCAAGGACCTTTACATATGCTGTTTGCCTCCAATACTCTCCTCCCAGATATTTCCTGTCTCCCAGTGTCTTCCAACACTCACCACCTGGGAGGCTGGGCTCAGTGCCAGGCACTCGGAAGGCATAGTAGACATAGGCAGCCAGCAGTGGGCAGTGACCACGGGCATCCTGGGCAGACTCCAGGCTCCGATGGACGACGCTGACCACATGGGCCATTGCTTCAAAGGCTCCACGACCCAGGTTCACTGCCGGGCAGAGCAGAGGTCATGTTCTAGGGCACAGGGACTCCTACCTTCCTGAGGAATAGACTTAAGGGTCCAAGGAATCAGGTAGCCATCAAAGGATCACAGAGGACCAGCTCTCAGCCCACGGGTTTGGGGCCATTTTCCAAATTGGGAAACTGAGGTCTGAGGCCCTGCTCACTCACCTATTTGGCCGCCGATGACCGGGGGCCGCACGACCAGACGTACGAGCTTGTCCAGCACATGGTGAGAGAAGGCGACGAGAGGCTCTGGGCTGGTGAGGCGCAGGGCTGCCAAGCTTGCCCGCAGCTCCTGCTCCACAGTACCCTCGCTCAGCACACCGTCCTTGAGCCGGAATGGGAAGGCCCCCTCCTCCAGGACATGCACCAGGGTGAAGAACTTGTCCAGGTGTGAATCCTGGGTGCCGGGGAGCCAAGGGTGAGTGGGGAGTGGCCAGGGCCCCTGGTATAGGAAGCCCCCAGGGGACTGAGTAGGAGGCTGAGTGGGCAGAGATACTGAGGCCAAGGATCAATGAATTAACAGTACGGACAGGGGCGAGAAACTAGATGAAGGAGAGGAGGAGGGGGAGTGACCCCAGAAACAGCAGGGGAAAATGGAGGTGGGAGAGACCACGTAAAGGACCAAAGCCCGAGCTGGGATGCCCGCTGGCACAGCCATCCTGCCTGAGTCAGCAGCTTCCTGGGAGACAGGTCCAGATGACTGAAGTCACGTCCATGGCCCAAGGCCAGGCCTCCCTGGTCAGTAGGAACTGTTGCCCAACCCCAGGGCTGGACTCCTGGGTTCCCATCCCACCCCCTACCTGGGGATGCACAGAGGACACAGCTGTGAGCTCCACGCTGAACACGCCCTTATGGCCGTCTACCCACCGCATGCCCGGCAGCGCCACCTGTGGGAGGGACGTACCAGGTGGGCACTGGTGGCCCTCCCCCACCGATCTGGCTACTGGCCCCAGCCATTGCAACACTGTGGCCTGAACATGGCCCTTCCTGGGGGAGCAGCTGGGCACTCTGCCCCTGGCCTGGCCCAGAGACCGCGTAGGGGGATGGAGGGCAGATGGAAGGAAGCACTATGGGGGGCTACTGGGCAGGCTGGAAGCCCAGGATGCTAATGGGGGAACAGAGAATGGAGACCCAGGGTAAACAGTAATTGAAAGGAGTGAACCAGGAGATTGTATAATGGGGGACATTAATGCCCAGTAGAGGGTGACCCTGCATTCACAGAGAGGACATGGGCGTGATCAACCCTGAAGTATTCCTGTTTAGGGAGGCAGGCAGGGCTGCTAGTGGGGCTCAGTGAGTGCAGAGACAGGGGGCACTAATGAGGCAGGAATAGTGGGGGACACGGAGAGACACATGGGAGCAATAGGACACACAGAGGCAACAATGGGGTGATGAGACAGCCAGGGGTCCTGGAGGCCGTAGCAGAGGACAACAAGGTTTCCAGGGGTTTTGATGAGAAGAAAGGCAGGGCATGAATGGGGGACCATGAGGAGAGTGGGGATCAAGAATGGGGTATGGCAGGGCACCAGGCATTGGTGGGAAGGTGGGTAATGCATTCCTGGGGGGCCCATGATACAGAAGCCTGGGGAGCTACGGGGGGCCAGGGCGGAGGGAGGCCGCGGGAAGGGCAGGGCACGTACGTCAGGTGTGAGCACAGAGTAGCTGGGCGGAGGCTGGTCCACGGACACAGGCAGGCAGAAGGGGCCTGTCCTCAGGCGGCCGTGCTGCAGCAGTGGGATCCACTGGGGAGAGGCTGAGGTCAGGGTTGGGGCCGGGCAGGGGCTAGGAGGGCTGGGGAGGGGAGGATGTAGGCCAGCGGGGGGGCCTCACAGTAAAGCCCACAGGAGTCTCCAGGGCCGTGCCGGGCCGGGGCTGGCAGCTGACGTGGTAGAAGGTGAAGAGCAGGTGGTGGTTCTCGGTCACACAGGCTGGAAGACGCAGCTTGAACTCTTCATAGAACTCAGGGGACCTGGCAGGGCCGGACTTGGATTCTGTTGGGGGCTAAGATCCCCTTTGCCTACCCCACCTCCTTGGCCACGTGTCTCCAGTGCTGCTGGCCCCAGTCTCTGCTGTTTGCCTCAAGTTCGCCCACGAGCATTCCCAGAACCTACCCCTCCCTCCCCTCTTCCTGCCCACCCCCCCATCAGTGCCAGTCCCCCAACCCCACCTACTTGTTGTGGTAGACCACCGGTGTGAAGGCCTCACGGGTGAATTCACTGCAGCTGGACTTGCCAAAGATGACCTGGGGGAGCGGGGGAATGAGGGGCCCACCAGGGAGAGCCCACCCACCTCCCCCTGGCCCAGCCACTGACCGGCAGGGCCTGGCTGGGGTCCTCGCCTGCCATGTACTGCACTCGGACAGTGAGGTTACGCACGGAGCCCTGGCGGCTGCTGAAGTTGAGGCTGTGTGGGTACACGTAGAGCAGATTCCTGCAGGGGTGGTGGGGGGGAGGGGGTGCATGAGAGGGACAGAAGCAGCTGAGCTACTGGAACAAACCTGGCCTGGGACACAGGACAGTGGCCATACAGCTGGGGTATCAAGGGCTGGGTAAGAGGCAATTAGGGGCATGGGCCAGAAATGTGACTGGTAGAGTGGGGGACAGATGGGCACCCTCAGAGCAAAGATGGAGAAATAGTATAGCAGAGGGTGGGAACACAAAAGGACTTTGGGGGCACTAATGAGGCATGGCGAGACAGGGCTGGGTGCGCAGGGCTGAGGTTCCAAAAAGGTAGCCCAGGTGGGCCAGAGGTCAGGCATGAGAACCACCAGGCTGAACTGCCCCTCCCCCGCTCAGGAGCCTGAGCACTGCTTCCTCCAGGAGAGGTCCTAGTTATGTGGCCTCTCTTAGGTGGGAAAACTGAGGCTGGAGTCAGAGTACTGTCTCTCTCCCCAGGAATAAATCTGTGCAAGCCCCAATCTCCCTCAGGGCCTGAGTTTCCCTATCTAAATATTGGGTTGTCGGAAAGTCATGACGCATTTTTGCAACGAAAAACAGAGAAAAAAATACATCATGACTTTTCCAACAACCCAATATAATGAGGTCACTGAGCCTCCCAACTGAGCCTCTGTAACAATATCAAAGATGATAATAATGACAATAATTGCACCAAACACTAATGGGGCACCTACCGCGCACCAGGCTTTGTTCTAAGCATTTAACATGAAACAATTCATTTACTTCTCATAAGCAGCCTGTGAGGCAAGACTAATGTCATACCCATTTTATAGGCAAGGAAACTGAGGCACCTGCCCAGTCATCCAGGGAGAAAAATGGCAGTTAGCATTGATCTGGGGCATGTGTGGGTCCTGGAGTCGGGCTGCGTGGCCTTGGGAAACTCTTGCCACCTGCACCCATTCCCCCAGCTCTCAACCAGAACAACAAAGGCCCCGGCATTGCAGCCTTGTGGGAAAGGTATGAGACCAGCTACTGTAATGGCAGCAAAACAGCTCTGAGCAAACCGGCAGCACTCATAAAAGCCTCACTGTTATTACTGTTATTGTTGTCATGCCTATCCACAGGTGGGAAAACCAAAGCTCAGAGCCTCAGAGTCACCCAGCAGGGCTTGGGCCTGTCTTCTCCCAGTGCTCCCAGCCCACACCTGGCTCAGAGCCCCAGCTAGCGTGATCCCAGCATGGCCCAGCTGGACATTCGTCTGATGCAACCGTCACGCCACCACCAGGCCTTGCACAACACAGGGCACCCAGCTGGCTGGTTAACGATTGACCGGGGGTTAAGGGGGTGTTGGGGCATAAAAGGCGATGGCAGTGGCACTGTGGCTGTACCGCCAGTCCCTCAGTCATAACCATGATCGTGCTGTGTCTGCTGTGTGCCGTGGCAACGGTGGTCTGGCCTGCCTCTGCGGCCCCCGTGGGCAACCTGGAGCCAGCGCAGAATGAGGAGCTGACCCTGCTCTTCCACGGGGCCCTGCAGCTTGGCCAGGCCCTCAATAGCGTATACAGGGCCACAGAGGCACAGCTGATAGAGGCCAGGCACAGCCTAGGCATCTACGGCCATGCACTGGGGCTACTGGGGCAAGACGTCAGCCAGGGCTGGGATGCAGCCCAGGAGCTACGAAAAAGCTTGTTGGACATACAGGTGGGCACTGCAGTTGGGGCATTGTGGGGTGTGTAGGAGTCTGTGGTGGAATTATGTCTAGGGTGACCCACTGCCTGAGTTTGCCAGGAAGAGGGGGTTCCTGAAATACAGTGCTTTCAGTGTTAAAATCAGGCAAGTCCAAGGCAAACAAAGAGAAGCTGGTAATCTTACTAATGTCTCACTAACTATTGATCAGACAGAAGAAGATGCTCTAAAGATGCGGGCAGAAGCCATGGCCCATACGCTGAAGGAGGTGGCCCAGGGACAGCAGGTGCTGCAGGACAGCATGCGGCAGCTAGAAGTCCGGCTGAGAGG